GCAGTTAGTTGTAAATGGATCATGTGATCATCTAGCTTCAGTTGCTCGGAGCATACAGCGATGAGCAGTTAGTTGTAAATGGATCATGTGATCAACTTGCTTCAGTTGCGAGGAGCATACAGCGAGGAGCAGTTAGTTGTAAATGGATCATGTGATCAACTTGCTTCAGTTGCTTGGAGCATACACCGAGGAGCAGTTAGTTGTAAATGGATCATGTGATCAACTAGCTTCAGTTGCTCGGAGCATACAGCGATGAGCAGTTAGTTGTAAATGGATCATGTGATCAACTTGCTTCAGTTGCGAGGAGCATACAGCGAGGAGCAGTTAGTTGTAAATGTATCATGTGATCAACTTGCTTCAGTTGCTTGGAGCATACACCGAGGAGCAGTTAGTTGTAAATGGATCATGTGATCAACTTGCTTCAGTTGCTTGGAGCATACATCGAGGAGCAGGTAGTTGTAAATGGATCATGTGATCAACTTGCTTCAGTTGCTCGGAGCATATATCGAGGAGCAGTTAGTTGTAAATGGATCATGTGATCAACTTGCTTCAGTTGTTTGGAGCATATATCGAGGAGCAGTTAGTTGTAAATGGATCATGTGATCAACTTGCTTCAGTTGCTTGGAGCATATACCGAGCATCAGTTAGTTGTAAATGAGTCTTGTGATCAACTTGCTTCAGTTTCTCGGTGCATATAGCGTGCACTGAAAGTGGTTACATTTACAGCTAAATAGAGTCAATGTTGAAAGAGTAGAAAATCTCAAGTATTGAATTTAATTTCAAAATTGTATAATCATTCAATTAGAGAGCCTTTATTTGGGTGGTGGGGGTGGGGGAGGGGGTGGGCCACCCCTCAGGTGAACATATAATTATTTCTCATCTTCCACGAGTTCATCCTCTTTGAAAACGTTGACATTTGCCCGGTGTTAGTGTTAGCTTTGGCAAAAAGTTTCAAACAGCACAGAATTATTGTGTAATCATAGTTATTGATCAATTATGTCTTAGGCTCACACACTCTCAAAGGAGGAAAGTTTGCGGTCATTTTTTGGGTTTTATATTTTGAAAAAAAAAAAATTCTTGAAATAATTTAAGATAATTACGATGTTGGAATATTTAATTGCGCCACTAAGAAAAATAATTAGACTGTAATTTAATTGCTGGCATCTCTGAAGGTTTTTGAGATTTAAATTGTTTGCCTGCTCCACACCATTCTTCACATAAACTCTATTTAAAAAAAAAAAAAAAGATAAAATAATAATAAAATGTGTGACCTCTCCTTTTAAGTTTAACAGATTCTCACAAACAATAATTGTCTAGGTATGTAATGTATGTATGGCTGTAACTCTTTGTTCAATAGACGCGCAAAAGAAAATTCCAAGAAGTTTGCTTTGTTTTTTTTTTGGTGATTCTTTGAAAGTGCTTTACTTGAATGCTTGTTTTGTCAAGTAACTTAAGTAGACTGGAATTTCACGCATTGCCGCCACCATTGTTTGGCTGGCTAGTTTTAGTCTGAATATAAAATGTCACTACATGTGTACAGAAAAAGGAGAGTGTTTCCAGGACATTTTGAAAAAAAAAAATATTTGAAGTTATTTAAATGGACAGACTTCTGACGCGCAGCGGCACACATAAAAAACAACAACTATTTTTTAGTCGTTTTCAAAGTTAACCGCTAAAAGATAAGGGACGAATGGTGCAGAGTAAGAAGAGCTCATGTCTTACACTGTGCGTTAAACTTTCTTACGACAAAGTTTAACCGGTTCAATGGGGCTGGCTTGATTCAAATTTATATATTTCATAACGGGTAAAATTAATATAAGACATTGTTTTAGATCTTTGAAAAGTGCTTCACATTTTCGAGATAACGCAATAAGGCACCGATGATAACAAAAAAAAAAAAAAAAAAAAAAAAAAAAAAAAAAAAAAAAAAAAAAAAAAAAAAAAAAAAAAAAAAAAAAAAAAAAAAAAAAAAAAAAAAAAAAAAAAAAAAAAAAAATTTTTTTTTTTTTTTTTTTAAAAAAAAAAAAAAAAAAAAAAAAAAAAAAAAACAAAAAAAATTAATGGAAAAAAATTTGCACATAGACCGACATGTTATGAAAAAAAACTTCAAAAATAAAATATTACTTAAAAGATGACGTTATATTGATACAAAGTAATATCTTTTAAAATAAGAAGAGATAATTATCTCTGTCTATAAAGGTATTCAATGTAAAGCTAAAATAACGAATCAAATTAAATACATTCAGAATCTTGAGCAATGATATGGATTTTCTTTTATGTAATGAAATAGAATCAATGTCTACATGTGTTAAAATAAAATATATCTGCTTATAGTTAAGTGTATATTTAAATATTATTAGTATTATAAAATATAAATATATTTAATATAACAATTAAAAAAACTATTTTGAGTATTTATCTGAATGTGAGAGCTAAAGATATGATCGCATACGTATTAAAGTATTATTGTTACTAATTCGTAAGCATATTTATTCGGCAAACCCCGAAAATCTGCTGTCTTAAAAGGATAGTTCATAGCGTTTTTAATATTGCGAAATTAAATTTAAATGAATGTTAATCGTCTAAATGACATTTGCTATAATGAGACTGAGATAGCATCAGCAGACTTTTCTTAATATGATAATCTATGAATCATATTTGACGATTATAAATTTATAAGAAATCATATTGAATAAGAATCAATGTCTACATATGTTAAAATTAATATATATATATATATATATATATATATATATATATATATATATATATATTTATATATATAAATATATATATATATATATATATATATATATATATATATATATATATATATATATTACACCAATGTCAGTGTATTTGGTAGAGAAAGACGTTCTTTGTTACATCAAGAGAAAAATTGATCAAACGTAGGACCCTATTTTATATGTTTCTAAACCGGTGTAGTGTCTTAGTATTGTGCCATCGTTAGCAGACATGTCGGTAACAATAGGAACAAACTTTTCTAGAAAGGACTTTGTATTTCTTTGTCAAGATAGCTTTCCAATTCCAAGCCCATGCCATACGATGCAACCAGGTTTAAGGGTTCAAGCAATCCAACAGATCAATGTATCATTTATTAAAATTAATTTTAGGTGCATGCAAAAAGTGTGCGGTGGCAACATAGGGGGGGGGATAACACCCCTGTGACGCTTGTATTAATGTTGATCAAAACTTTTCTGTGTGCGTTTCGGATGGGGACGTTATTTTTAGTTTATGTCACAGACAGCATAAATTACGTCACAGTATGGCTGGGTGCCTCAGACAGCACAAATTATGTCACCGTATGGCTGCGTGCCTCAGACAGCATACATTGCGTCACAGTATGGCTGTGTGCCTCAGACAGCACAAATTACGTCACAGTATGGCTGGGTGCCCCACACAGCGCAAATTACGTCACAGTATGGCTTGGTGACCCAGACAGCATAACCTACATCACGGTATGGCCGTGTGCCCCAGACAGTACGAATTACGTCACAGTATGGTTCGGCGTATTTGTTAAGTATAGTCATCTCTCCATGCTTAAATATGGTGCACACCGGTAATCGGTACATAGGTAGTTTTAAAACTAATTAAATATCAATTTTTTGTATTTAACCTTCTTCTAGAAAGATTGTTCAAGCGAAGTAAAGGCGATATGTGCGTTTTTATGTGGATGACTATCTCTTTATATCCAAAGATAATAAAGTCGTGAAAAAGAAATGTTAGATTATTTTTAAAAAAATAATAAATATGTTATCACAGTTTAAGAAAATAGAGTTCAAGAGCTTTGACAAACAATGTGTACATTTAAATGAATATACCCACAGCTAAAAAATAAAAAGTTGGAAAATAGAGGATACGATTTTCGCTGTAATTAAGGATATCTAGGTTTTTCTTATTTTCCAAAGATACAGCTCAATGGTGAGAGTAAGGAGTGGGCACATCTTTATGAGGATAAACCGTATGTTTACATTAAACAAATTAGTGTAAATATTTGTTTGAAAATACATCTCAAGCGCGAAAGAAAGAGAGTGGGTAACATTTTTAAGGGGGTGAACATATATTCTTGATGAGTAGAGCCATATTTTTTTTTTACTATTTCAATTCAATTTAGTTTAAGAAAAAAAAAGGAGTGGGGGGGGGGGAGGGGATGTATAAATATTGGAAACAATTTTCTTTAAAAATATGAAAAAATATTTTTGTTTCCACTCTGAGAAAACAAAGTTCCTTGAAAGATGGTTGTACATTTTTATGAGATGAATAATATTTATATTAAATAACTCAAGGCTGTGACAGATGTGCAAATTAGTTAAGACAGTCTTCAGTTCTGAATAATTCTGTGTCGTACGATTTTACGATAACACATTACACATTTGTTATACGTTTTAGGACAAGTTTGTCCAATTTTTAGAAAAAAAAAATGTTTTTGTTTTGTAGTTCAGGGGCGTGAAAATTGGTAGGGTCAGTTTATATATCATATTAAACATAAATATTTCTCAAAATTGAATCGATACATGAATAATTTTTTTTAAAACAAGGAGAGTCTGATTAGCCTTTTGAATAAATATACATTTCAATTGCATGAAAAGTTGTACTTTTTTAAAGTTACATCCTTAAAATTTTGGTTGTCTTAGTTGGGACCTCACAATAATTGGTAGAAAATATCGCAAAATATATTCCATTAATATCCAGGGCGCATCCGGTCATATCCTCTTGTACATTAAGAAAAAAGAAAACATTTAATAAAATAACATAATTGTAAAAAAAAACAACATCGTATCTAAATAACAACAAGTGCTCGTTAATTTTTTCAATATTTATTACGTTCACTTTTCAGATTTAGGTCATTCAATAAAATTCAATAAAGATTGAACTAAACACGTTTGTTTCATAAAAGAACGTGTCATACTATAATTATTACTCGAAAAGCTGCGCAAATGGCACAAATCAACGACACAAAAGTTGCGCATGTAGTGGACATGACCAGGGATGATCTCATCAGCGAAGAGCAGCTAAAACTTGTGACGTTCGTCAACTATGCCGTCATAGCTTGCGCCATCAGCTTCATCGGAATCCTCCTGAACCTTGTCAACGCTGCCGTGTTTGTTAAGCAGGGTTTCAAAGACACCATCGCCATCTCCCTCTTTGGGCTGACGGCAGCCGACACGGGAGGTTTGGTGAGCCTCATATGGATGAGCTTGTGCTACAACCCGCTGGTGGTTGACGGGTTGCCTCATGTGGATTTCATCGGCGTCCAGCACATCACCGCTGGTTGGCCACACGTCTGCTTCACCCGCGTTTCCTGTTGGCTGACGGCCTTCATCACTTTCGAGAGATATCTGTGCATCGCGTTCCCTCTCAAGGTCAAGAGAATTCTGACGCCTAGAAGAACCGCCATTGTCGTCATCGCGATATTCACCATTATCATTTTATCCGTTGTTCCGGTCTACGTCGCCATCCACTTTGCCTCGTCTGTCAGCGCCAGAAACAACAGCGAGGTCATCGGTATAGCGTACATTCCTGGCGGTGCTGCTCTAGAAAATGCCTCAATCTACTGCAGCACGTTCTTCCAGTTGTCGTCCTTTGTCTGCGTCATCGTGTGCACAGTGGGGCTAGTCTACAAAATCACCGAGAGGTCAAAATGGCGCACCGCCGCGTCTTCGGCGTCCAAAAATGAATCCATCTCCAACAGAGACAAGAAGGTCGTCAAGATGGTCGTGGTGCTCTCCTTGGTGTTCATCGCCAGCTTCACGCCAGTCATCCTCCATATGATCGCCATGCTGTGTCAGCCAGGGTACATGGTAGGTGGACGTTATCAGAACCTATTTCTTCTCTGTGGCACCTTTGTGTTCAACCTCCAGGCCGTCAACTCGGGCTCCAATATTTTTGTGTACCTCAAGATGAGCACCAATTTCAAGCTCGTTTTCCTTTCTTTATTTCAATTTAGAGCTCAGTCAGATCCACAATTAAGAAATTCATCTAATGGCGTGTAAATCTGTCAATTAATATTCCATTTATGTGGTAAAAAAAAAGCCTGTCAAGGTACTAACAAAACAGATAATTTTTTTTTTCGATGAAATACATTTCTTAAAACTTATAATATTCTTTGCTATGCGTGTGTCTCATACTCAATACATCATCATTTACAGGTAGAGCGGTTTCTTTTACGCTAGACTGTGACTTTTTCAAATTTAGCCATCAATAATGCAATAACGCACGCGAGCCATCCAGTTTTCGCAAAGCATACCCAACAGCCTTCCACTCATTTTTAAAAGTCCATTATTAAATATCTTCTGAATGTTGTCAGTTCACAGCGCATTCCTCGGTATAAATGCACGGCAAGAATTCCCTATAGGTCAGTAAGCTTAAGACAAGGGCCTCCTTAATCGAAAGGACCTAATAATTTAAGAGGTCATGTTTTATAGACTCCAACGTTTAAAATGTATAAATCACAGTTACGTGACGTTACGCTACGGGTGAACGCCTGCTACAACAGACTGTAAAGGTCAGCACGGGAAAGGCGCATCTGCTTGGCTGACACGGCACGAGAGGGTCACGTGAGGGGGGGGGGCAGCCTATCAGGGACAACGGGGATTACTTGTAGGTAGCTCAAGTGAGGAGGACGTATGTCCTGCGACAGAAGAACCCGAGAGGAAAGTATTCATAGGACCGATCGAGTGAATGAAGATCTATGAAGCCAACGAAAGAAAATAAGACTTGAATATTCTATTGTAAATGATTCTTGAAATGTGGCAACTATAATAATAAAGGACTGTGTAGTTTTTACCGGCGTGTCAAATTGTTATTGTGAGCAAAAGAGTGGGTGATGCATCCTGCATACGAGACAACGCCGTAACAATTACTTTAAAAAAAAAAAAAAAGAAGCTTTAGAACACACATTCAAATTGAAATAAATCCCGTACAAAAATGTATCACAAGTTTAATAAATCGTCTTGTAGCCCCCATTGGACGCTTTTTAAAGGGCCGTCTCCAGGTGTAGTTCTACATCAGGGTCATCCCATCAAAGACTGACCTTGCCGGCCTTTATTATTCCACCGATCATCCTGGATATGACCGGACTCAGCGATGACATACCATGTTCCACGAAAACAGATTTGGTAAATTGATAGGAATATAAATATTCTACCTCGATCTTAATCAGAAGGCAGAGACTAATTAGTCGTTAAAAATTTTTGTGAGGCGGGAAGGGGGCGTGAGGGTGGCTACCCTCTGACGGACTGCAAAACCTGGAATTCCCTGAAACGTCGGTACTTTTAAATATTTTTTATTTGACCGACTCTGTCCATGGCTAAGACCACAGTCGGGGCTAGTTTGATATTACCCCAAAGGGCCAAGACACGATAATCCATTTTTATTTATTTGGTTATCAAAAAGCATTTTCATTTACGCGACAAGTCAAAGTGTGACGCTTGCTTCATGAATCATTCGGCTACCGCACTCTATGATTCGAAACTGATGATGAAAAAGCGCGTTGTGAGAAGTTTTGCTACGAGACCGATGGTTGTGAGTGAACCGTGGTTATCGTGTGCAGTGTTTCTTTCAGATCATTTCCCCCAGGGGGAGGGGGATTTCATGGGGGTGGTCAGTGCCACTGGCCAGAGGGGGATATATGTCCTCGGGCGCCAGCCTAGTGGGGCCGCCAAAATGGTATTTAATGGATGAAAATAATGGGATTCAGAATTGGCAAATGGATGCGTAAAAATGAATCTTGTCCCCTGGCACCAAACATTTGAGCTACGCCTCTCCAGTGACGTAGAAGGGGGCGGAGAGGAGTCAAATTTATTATAATTTCAAAATTGGGAATATATTTTGGTGCATACTTGAATTTAGTGTCTCTTTCAAACTATTTTGTTTGGGTTTGGGTAAAGGGGGGGGGGGTCATTTCAGACTTTCGGGTGGGATGCGCCAAAATTACCAATTATAACGACCAGGGAATCTCTATCTCTCTTCGTAAACACCAGGGTGTTGGTGAATGTGAAGCTTATGGCGTTGTTGGCGGTGTTGGTGGTATAATTATTTTTGGTAGTTTCATTTTTTTAAAATTATTATTTTTTTTAAAATAGACCTGTGAATTACTTGATTAAAAAAAAAAAAAATCAGAAATGATTTGAATAAATGAATTTCTCCAATAATAAAAAAAAAAAAAAAGTTTAAAATTATATTAAAAATAAATTATTATTTTTTTTAAAATAGACCTGTGAATTACTTTATTAAAAAAAAAAAATCAGAAATGATTTGAATAAATGAATTTCTCCAATAATGAAAAAAAAAAAAAAGTTTAGAATTATATTAAAAATGTAACTTCTTTCCTTTTTCAAAGGCGTTATTGTAGCAAGATTCAATTATTATATAATCTAAGATGGTTTAAATGACATGGTAGAGTGTAGAGGATTTTTATCTACTTATTTTAATGTTGTGATTATCGACAATAAGTTCGCTTAGGTGATCATCAGGAGGAGAGAACAAACACAACACTGGATTGAGACTGTCTCTTTATTCTCTCTCTGGACCACACAGATGGCCAGGCTTGACTTGTCTCCACCATGTTGACAGTCGTTTGAACTTTTTTTTTTTATTCTTACAGATATATTTTGATCAAATAATTTCAGCCATTACTTATTCATAGCCGTTGACAGTTTTCACGTCGACATGATGCTGACCACACAGGCAGTGTTACTGACGTGACGCTGACCACACAGGCAGTGTTACTGACGTGACGCTGACCACACAGGCAGTGTTACTGACGTGATGCTGACCACACAGGCAGTGTTACTGACGTGATGCTGACAACACAGGCAGTGTTACTGACGTGATGCTGACCACACAGGCAGTGTTACTGACGAGATGCTGACCACACAGGCAGTGTTACTGACGAGATGCTGACCACACAGGCAGTGTTACTGACGAGATGCTGACCACACAGGCAGTGTTACTGACGTGATGCTGACCACACAGGCAGTGTTACTGACGTGATGCTGACCACACAGGCAGTGTTACTGACGAGATGCTGACCACACAGGCAGTGTTACTGACGAGATGCTGACCACACAGGCAGTGTTACTGACGAGATGCTGACCACACAGGCAGTGTTACTGACGAGATGCTGACCACACAGGCAGTGTTACTGACGAGATGCTGACCACACAGGCAGTGTTACTGACGAGATGCTGACCACACAGGCAGTGTTACTGACGAGATGCTGACCACACAGGCAGTGTTACTGACGAGATGCTGACCACACAGGCAGTGTTACTGACGTGATGCTGACCACACAGGCAGTGTTACTGACGTGATGCTGACCACACAGGCAGTGTTACTGACGAGATGCTGACCACACAGGCAGTGTTACTGACGTGATGCTGACCACACAGGCAGTGTTACTGACGTGATGCTGACCACACAGGCAGCGTTGGTACAAATGGTGATGTGCGACACATGTTGATGGCTCGGTGAAGACAATGGCTTGCCGTACGGCACATGTTGATGGCTCGGTGAAGACAATGGCTTGCCGTACGGCACATGTTGATGGCTCGGTGAAGACACTGGCTTGCCGTGCGGCACATGTTGATGGCTCGGTGAAGACACTGGCTTGCCGTACGGCACATGTTGATGGCTCGGTGAAGACAATGGCTTGCCGTACGGCACATGTTGATGGCTCGGTGAAGACAATGGCTTGCCGTACGGCACATGTTGATGGCTCGGTGAAGACAAGGGCTTGCCGTGCGGCACATGTTGATGGCTCGGTAAAGACACTGGCTTGCCGTGCGGCACATGTTGATGGCTCGGTGAAGACAATGGCTTGCCGTGCGGCACATGTTGATGGCTCGGTAAAGACACTGGCTTGCCGTGCGGCACATGTTGATGGCTCGGTAAAGACACTGGCTTGCCGTGCGGCACATGTTGATGGCTCGGTGAAGACACTGGCTTGCCGTGCGGCACATGTTGATGGCTCGGTGAAGACAATGGCTTGCCGTGCGGCACATGTTGATGGCTCGGTAAAGACACTGGCTTGCCGTGCGGCACATGTTGATGACTCGGTGAAGACACTGGCTTGCTATGCGGCACATGTTGATGACTCGGTGAAGACACTGGCTTGCCGTGCGGCACATGTTGATGGCTCGGTGAAGACAATGGCTTGCCGTGCGGCACATGTTGATGGCTCGGTGAAGACACTGGCTTGCCGTGCGGCACATGTTGATGGCTCGGTGAAGACAATGGCTTGCCGTGCGGCACATGTTGATGACTCGGTAAAGACACTGGCTTGCCGTGCGGCACATCTTGATGACTCGGTGAAGACACTGGCTTGCTATGCGGCACATGTTGATGACTCGGTAAAGACACTGGCTTGCCGTGCGGCACATGTTGATGACTCGGTGAAGACACTGGCTTGCTATGCGGCACATGTTGATGACTCGGTGAAGACACCGGCTTGCTTTCCACTGACGGAAGTCTGGTAGCGGCCATATTGGTTCTCGGTTTCAACACGTCTTGATCTTTGTTGGAAAATGCTTTAAGCTAGGAAATTACGAACTTAAGCAAGAATATATCATGGATGGCTGTCATGGATGGCTGTCATGGATGGCTGTCATAGATTGCTGTCATGGATGGCTGTCATAGATGGCTGTCATAGATTGCTGTCATGGATGGCTGTCATGGATGGATGTCATGGATGGCTGTTTTGGATGGCTGTCATGGATGGCTGTCATAGATGGTTGTCATAGGTGCCTGGCATGGATGGGTGTCATGGATTGGTGTCATGGATGGGTGTCATGGATGGATGTCATGTATGGTTGTCAGGGATGATTGTCATTGTTGGCTTTGACGGATGGCTGTCATGGATGGCTTTCTTTGTTTGCATGTCATGGATGGCTGTCATGTAAAGCTTTCATGGTTTGCATGCCAT